TGGAACCACTGAGAACTATGGCCCCTAACTACCTTTCAGGTCTGGAAGCCACTGCTGTGGCTTCCAAGCCAAACAAAAGACAGGCATTTGAGGTGAATATTTACATTAGGCAGATACACTCCTTAGAGAGAACGATTATGGGAGAATAGAAGGGCTGTGTATGCAACAGGGAGACAGCTCAGGGGGCAAGAGTGCATGGAGGGAAAGACACAGGAAGAGGTTAACTATGAAGAGGAAGTGGGAGGGGGGTGTTGCACTGTGGTAAACTGTAGTCAATGTCATGAGACAAAGTATGTGTGAGCTGCTGTACAGAAAGTGAATTTGTTCTGTAAACTTCCACCTAAATCATAATTTAAAGAAAAGAAAAAAGTGTACAGGAGAAAAGGATGTTTTTGCTAAAGAATATGACATACATAACTCAGCACATCAACAATAACCAAAAAAATGAGCATATGGCCACATATGTAGATTTTTAAGTATATATATATACACAAGTATATGCACATACATGTGCATACACACATATATATATACATGTTGTTGTTATATGCCATCGAGTCAGCCCCGACTCATAGCGACCCCTCCTAGGGTTTCCGAGGCAGTATCACTACAGAAGTACATTGCCCAACCTTCCTTCCGAAGAGTGGCTGGTGGGTTTGAACCACCAGCCTTCTGGTTAGCAGTCAAGTGCCTGAGGCACTATGTTACCAAAGCTCCTACATATATGCATATGTGTGTACATATATGTATACATAAAGAAGTACTTGTATGTATGTGTACATACATTTATGTGTGTAAACATACATATTCATAAAAGACACAGTTACAGATACTTCTCAGGCATAACCAAACACCCTGAGCTTGAAGACTGAGATCCTTAGTCTCATGGGACAACTCAGTCAACTGGCACCACAAAGTTCACGAACTGCATCCTAAGGGTATTTTTCCTCATGGTGTAGTGGGTAAGGCATTTGACTGCTCACCAAAAGTTCAAACCTACCAGCTACTCTGCAGAAGAAAGATGAGGCAGTCTGCTTCTGTTAAATATTTACAGCCTTGGAAACCCATTAGGGGTAGCTATGAGTCAGAATGAACTCAATGGCAGTGAATTTGGTGGGTTGTTTTTTTTTTTTTTTGGTTAACGAGGTGAGATGAGAAACATCTGTGGTCTTAAAAGCTTTCCAGAGGCCATCTAAGATACAACTATTGGCCTCTACCATTAGGAGCAAGAGAGAAGAAACCAAAGTCTCAGAGAAGAAACCAGTCTACAGGGCTAATAGCGTACACGAGCCACAGCCTCACTACCCTGAGACCAAAAGAACTAGGTAGGGCCTGGCTACCATTACTGACTGTTCTGATCAGGGCTATAACAGATGTACCCAAATAGAAGGGGAGAAAAATATAGAACAGAAGTCAAATTCTGAAAAAATTCACTTACTGGACTAGTTAAGGCTAGAGGACTCCCTGAGATATTCTTCAAACCTTGAACCAAACTATCCTGAGGTCATTTCTTAGTGAAATAACAGATTGGCACACAAAATAAAGGGTATTACCTGTATGCATAAGATCCACTAAAAGAAAAAATATATACCATCTATATGACACTAACATAGTGCCTAAGGCACTTGACTGCTCACCAGAAGGCTGGCGGTTCAAACCCACCAGCCACTCCTCGGAAGGAAGGTTGGGCAATCCTACTTCCGTAGTGATATCTGCCTCGGAAACCCAAGGAGGGGTCGCTATGAGTTGGGGCCGACTCGACAGCAAACAACAACAACACATGACACTAAAAGGTCAACAATTAGTCTACAGTAAAGATGAGAAGACAGGGGGCGCTAGGAAACCAGCGTACTGGAAATGGAACAACCAGAGTCCAATGAGCATGTTGATGTACTGTGAAAATGTAATTAATGTCACTGAACAATCTGTGCAGAAATTATCACATGGGAACCTAACTTGTGTAAACTTTCACCAAAAACAGAAAGAGAAAATACAACTTAGAAAGTGTTCCTTAAACTGTAGAAAGTTCCTCAATTTTCTGATTTTTTTAAATACATAAAACGTATTCCACTGTATGATTATTAACCACAATTTAACTATCGCCCCCTGGCTGTGTTTCCTAAATCACAGTGGGGCGGAACCTGGCCCCAGTACTTGGCCAAGCCAGAAGCACTAGGCAGGCTGGCCTAGGGTGTGAGGAGGTATAGTTGCTGGTTGCGGGACCAAGCTGAGTAGAGCATGCAGCAGGCTTGCATGCTGTGGGAGGGACACGCGCCGTTGTTGTCTCTTGTCACCTGCAGGTGACAGCAGGCGTTGGGGTTGTGATGGTCGGTAGACCAGAATGGAAGGGCTAAGGAGCCTATCTGAACCTTTGACCTGGTGCTCCTGGAGTTCCTAGTGTGCCCGCTCTCCAAGAAGCCATTCAGATATGAAGCATCAACAAATGAATTGATCAGTGAAGAGTTGGGAGTAGCATATGCAATCATTGATGGCATTCCTAATATGATACCACAGGCAGCTAGGCTGACACATCAAAATAAGAAGAAAGAAGAAATGGAGCAGCACTATACTTAAACAAAAAAACTGAACTCTCTAAATACCATTTACTTTTTTAAAAAGTCACTGTTGCAGGTAATAAGAATGTTTCTGTCTCTTCCTACACTGACTGTCCTTATTCCACTGGTTTTAAAGAAACCAAAGTCTCAGAGAAGAAACCAGTCTACAGGGCTAATAGCGTACACGAGCCACAGCCTCACTACCCTGAGACCAAAAGAACTAGGAAGGGCCTGGCTACCATTACTGACTGTTCTGATCAGGGCTATAATAGATGTACCCAAATAGAAGGGGAGAAAATTATAGAACAGAAGTCAAATTCTGAAAAAATTCACTTACTGGACTAGTTAAGGCTGGAGGACTCCCCGAGATTATCACCCTGAAATATTCTTCAAACCTTGAACCAAAACTTGAACGGCAGGACCAGGACCATTCTACTCATCAGGAACTCTGGTAGCATACAGCCTAAGGCATCTGACTGCTAACCAGAAGGCCCGGGGTTCCAACCCACCAGCCAACTCCTTGGAAGAAGACTGGGCGATCTACTTCCATGGTGATACCCGCCTCATAGTGATAACAGCCTCAGAAACCCAAGGAGGGCTCACTACAAGTTAGATCCGACTGAGGGCAGTGTGTTTGGTTTTTGGTTTTGGTTCTACTCAGCCTCCATAGAAGAAAATGTCCCTCAGGGCTGCACTAGCACTACCAGCCTTTGCTTTTACACTACACTCTTGCCGATTACCTTACCAGTCTATGAGTTTTTCCACCTTTGGACGTGGATGGGTATTCAGACATAATTAATGCAACCAGAGTCAAGATGGTATACATAAAATGGTATGTCATGGGCCTGTTTCTGTGAAAGCTCTACTAGACTAAAATACTGGAATCCCATTTAGTTTGCAGGAAAGGCAGTTTGGCCTTGGTTCTGTCAGAGGCTTAGGACTACAGGAAGCTTAAGCTCCAGAAGCTCCTTTTACTGTACTCTGTCCGTAAGGAGCTCTGGTGGCTAAGGCATTTGACTGCTAACCAGAAGGTTGGCAGTTCAAACCCACCAGCCACTCCATAGAAGGAAGACTGGGCAATCCACTTCCGTAAAGATTTACCACCTCAGAAATCCAAAGGAGGTCGCTGTAAGTCGGAATTGGCTAGATGGCAATGAGTGTGGTTTGGTTTGGTTCTACCCTCATTTTTTTTGAAGATTCTAATTTATAACAACTACTGTACCAGAAGAAACATTTTAACAAGGTGTCTTTTTGGAGATGAAAAGCCCCAATCACCAGCTGATAATTTTATTCCTTATCCCAGCCTATAAAAGTCTTTCGAAATACTGTTTAGATTCAAACTCTTTAGTCAAGTCACTTCCTACAAATAAATAATTACAAAGAAGCTGTGCTAGAGTAGTTGAAGAGAAATGCATTTGAACTAGTGTGCTATAAAACCTTATAATAAAATGGAGATTTCACATACTTGCCAAAATAAATAAATAAAATTAACTGTCCTACTAAAAAGATTATTTATAATCTGTTGTGTTTACAGACAATATGGTAGTGAACTCAAAAAACTCACTGCCAGTCGACTTGGATACAACTCATAGCGACCCCTCCTTGGGTTTCTGAGGCAGTATCTCTACAGAAGTAGATTGCCCAGTCTTCCTTCCGAGGAGTGGCTGGTGGGTTTGAACCGCCAGCCTTCTGGTTAGCAGTCAAATGCCTCAGGCACTATATCACTCATTATTTCCCATACATTAATACATCTATAGGATAAATTCCTAGAAGTTGAATTTTGGGTTAATTTTAATAAGCATCACCACATGCTACAAAGATGGTACCAATTTATACCACCAGCAGCAATGTATGAACATTTCTGCATGTTTTTCAAATTTATATAAATGGTATCATACTGTACATATTCTTTTATAATTTGCTTTTGAGGCTGAACCTCCTATTATTATCCATGTTGATATGTGTAGCTTTAGTTCATACATAGATTTTTTTACTTAAAGGAATTTCTAAATAACTTCTGTGATTCATTCACAAAGAGAATAGTTCCCTACTTACAAACCCCAAAACTACAGTTTTGTGTAGAAATACCAGCTTAACCAACAGGTTACTTGTATAAACAACTCAGCTGCAGAAGACACACCCATCCGACTAAAGAGACTGCCTTCTCTAGTATGTTGTTGTTGTTTGCCATCGAGTCGGCCTTAGGCACTAAGCTACCAGAGCTCCTGCTTTCTCTGGTAAAACTAACAAAAACTGCCATTTTAATTTACTGCAATACAAATATGACTGTTCACCCCTGCTTTTTAAATTGCTCTACAGGGGAAGGAAGAGTAGAAACTAACACTGACAACCAGAAGAAGAAAAAGTACCTTGAAAATAATAATTTAAGCACAATTACAAATAACTCTACTTTTGTTTAAACTTTCCCCTCAAAATGCTGCCATTAAGTTAACAAGGATAATCTTAGCTTTTAACAGAAAACAAAATAATCACTATGAATGTACAATGCTTTTAACAGAAAACAAAATAATCACTATGAATGTACAATGCCTTTCTCCCTCAAAAAATTAAATTTCCGCTAAGCATGGAGCTCTGGTAGCATAGTGACTAAGGCACTTGACTGCTAACCAGAAAGGCTGGCACTTCAAACCCACCAGCCACTCCTCGGAAGGAAGGTTGGGCAATGTACTTCTGTAGTGATACTGCCTCGGAAACCCAAGGAGGGGTCGCTATGAGTCGGATCCAACTCAATGGCACATAACAACAACAACAAGAAACATGGACT